TTGCGCGAGTGCGTACGCGAGTGTTTGTGTGTGTGTGTGTGTGTGTGTCTGTGTGCGCGAGTGCGGTGCGTGTGTGCGTGTGTGCGTGTGTGCGTGTGTGCGTGTGTGTGTGTGTGTGTGTGTGTGTGTGTGTGTGTGTGTGTGTGTGCGTGTGCGTGTGCGTGTGCGTGTGCGTGTGCGTGTGCGTGTGCGTGTGCGTGTGCGTGTTCGTGTGTGTGTGTGTGTTTGTATTTGTGTGCGCGAGTGCGCGAGTGCGTGCGTGCGTGCGTGCGTGCGTGCGTGCGTGCGTGCGTGCGTGCGTGCGTGCGTGCGTGCGTGTGTGTGTGTGTGTGTGTGTGTGTGTGTGTGTGTGTGTGTGTGTGTTTGCGGCAGGGAAGTCAGGGCAAAACAAGCAGATGCGCACATTCAACCGGCTGTGCCTTCAGACGCTCTTGCTCGAACCGCGCCGCGGGCCTCGCGGTGCGTGCCCCCGTCGGCTCCGACGCCCTCACTCCCGCGCTCGCGCGCGTCCGCCGCCGCCGCTGCTCAGCGGGGCGGCAGAAGGGGAAGCGCGGGGCCCCGGGCCGCCGCCGCGCTCCCGTCCCCCCCTTCTGCCCCCTCCCGCTCCCCTGCTCCCGCCTCGGCCTGCTCCTCGTCCCCCTTCCTCCTCTTGCTCCTCTTGCTGTTGCTCCTCCTCCTCCTCCTCCTCCTTCCTCCAGCCGCCACCGCGAGCTCAACCAGTGCGGCTGGCCTGCAGGCGCGGCTGGAGGGTGTTGGGCGGAGCGCCTCCGTCCCTTCCATCCGCAGGGGCCCAGGGAAGGGTATCGGGGCATCACGTCGCACATATCATCCCGCTCGATTCTCATCCGAGCTCGTCTGGTCAATGTACTCCCTCTAGTGTCCCCGCTTCATTCCTGGGAGGGGATGGCCGTGGGGCTGCCGAGTACGGCGGCCGCACCAGTCGCCCAGGCACCATCAGGGTTCGGCACACCATGCTCGCGAATCAGAGAACACATGAGACATTTGCACAATCGCATGCTGACATGTAATGGAAAGATGTGGGGCCCACCGTCTTAGAAAACAAGAGCCCGGACATAAAGTTCGAACCAGCATAACAGGAAAATGTGGGTTCTGTTCTGATAGACACGCTCGATTCCCTGGCTTCTTTGGCGTCCGCTTGGCATGCTTGTTTCGAAGAGCTCTTGGGGCTCCTTTCCCATGCGGCATTCAGCCTAGTCTTTGTTTGCATCGTCCGAACAGTAAATCTGACACAGAGAAGATGCAATGTATGAGCGATTCTCGTTCTTGCCTCGGGGGAGCTGGCGCAGGAAATACTGCCTCGGAAGTGCTAGCGCATGTTGGTGTTACAATCGGCGAAGCGGCTCAGCACGAAGCTCGCAAACATGGTGGACAGTTCATACAACACAGTGCTTTCTACTGATCTGGACGGTGTTTTTTCTGCGATCTTGCGACAAGAGACGATGCATTGTTATTGCCGCAACTGTGCGGGTTGTAACGGACGAGTAGTCAGACTGCAGGTGCGTACCCCTGAGCGCAGAGCTGAGCCTCCTCCTCCTTTTCCTGCTCCTCATCCTCATCCCCCTCCTCGTCCCTCCTCCTCCTGTTCCTCGTGCTCTTCCTGTGCCTCATCCTGCTCTGCTCCTCGTCCTATTTCTCGCCCTCCTCGTCCCCTCCTGCTCGTCCATCCTTTCCCCTTTGTTCTGCCCCTGCATCCCCCTTGCCCGAACTCCTCCCCTTCCCCCTCCCTCTCTCCTTTGCCCCCTCCTCTCATTATGTATTCTCATGGTTTTCCTCGCTTCGCGGGGCGTACGTCCAGAGCGCGTGCAGTTTGGGCGTTGGGGGATTTGCCCTCTTCGTCTGCCGCGTTGTTCTGCCGCGTCGTTCTGCCCGCCCCGGGGCGCTGCCAGCGCCACGGGGGGCGGATGCGCTCCCCCCTTCCCCCCCCGTTGCAGCGCCGGGACGAGCGTGCGGATGTCCACGAGGGCGGTGCGCATGCATCGCGTGTCCGCGCAAGGCAACGCCAACCTCAAACTCCGATGAGCATAACAGCAACGCGCCATCCGTATATAATTCCGCGGGCCCCATGGTGGTTTCTTGGGGCCGTTTGGGTTTTTTTGGGGGCCTCTTGGAGGCTTCTTGGGGGCCCCTGAGGGCCTCTTTGGGGCCTCTTGGGCTGTCTTGGGGCGCTCTTGCGCTGCCTGGCCTCTTCGGAGGCCGTCTTGGGCGCCTCACGGGGCCGCCTTGTGGCTCTCTTGGGTCCCTGTGGCCCGTCTTGTGGGTCAATTGAGTCGTCTTTTGGGCCTCTTTGGGCCATCTTGGGGCCATCTTGGAGGCTGCTTGGGCCGTCATGGGCCCCCGAGCCCCCGAGAATTGAAAAAAGGCGAGGACACGAACAACTTCTAAAACCTAGAGGAAATATGCAAGTTTTTGGCCTCTGGAGGTGCTCTTGGGTGCCCCCTTGGGGCCCTCAAGGGCCGTCTTGGGGGCCTCTTGGGGCGCCGTCTTCGGGCCGTCTTCTCGGGCCGTCTGGAGCCGTGTTGAGCCGTCTGGATGCCCTTTTGTGACCCCTAGAGGCCCCAGAGGCCGGCCGGCACCATAGATGCTCCCTATGTTTGGGTTTTCTTTTGGGCGCCAGAAGGGGGGGGGGCCTGCCACCCTGGTCAGCCGCTTTGGCGCGATTCCCGGGGTGGGGTAGGGGTGGATACAGAATGATGCAAAGTCACGTCACACACTCACAATTTGTGGGCTCCTGCTTCGCTCCGCGACCTGCCTCTGGTAACGCGTCACTTCCAGACGTGGTATTCAAGCGGGTTGCGCCATTCCCCCGATTCTCAGATGAGAACATGTGCGGCTTCTGATCTCGTGCGTGTAGTTTGTGACTTCCCGTCTTGCGGCCTGCGCGTCGTTGTCGCCGATTCGTCCTTCTCTTCCTCCGTGTCTGTTGCGGGGTGGGCGTCCTCTTGGCGCTTTCTCATGGTTACCTTTTTTTGAGGGGGGGCTTCGGGGGCTTCTTGGGGGCCTCTTTGGTCATGTTGGGACTCTTGGGGGCCATTTTGTGGGGGAGGACTTCTGGGGTCTCTGCGAGGTCCCCCTCTTAGGCCTCTCTTGGGCTGCTCTAGGGGCCTGTAGTTTTCTCTCCGTTTTGGGAGCCTCTCGGGCAGTCTTGGGGGCTCTCCTGGGCCGTCTTGGGCCAGTCTCGGGGGGCTCCCGCGCCGTTTCAGGCCCGCATGCGCTCCAGGGGGCGACCCGGCGAACATCGTGCAACAGCTCGTGCTTCCAGAGGTCCTGTTTGGGGGCTCTCTTGGGGCCCTCTCTCTCGGTGTGTCTTGGGCCGCCGTGAGGCCAGGAGGGGTGCTCTGGCGGCCCCTCGCCGGCGCGCAGAGGCCTTTCTGGGGACCGCCTCGGAGAGCACAGGTGGCACGGAGGGCGGATTCTTTGCGGCTCCGAGGGCGCCAGGAGTGCGCCGAGGAGCTCGCCCCCCTTGGACTGCACGTGAGCGCGACCCCTCGCCGCAGTGACCTCTGGTGCGGGCTCCCGGGGGTCCCCCCCCGATCGCTGAGCGCGTTGCGGCAGTGGCTGCTTGCGCGCTTGGATTTGGCCACCTCGCGCCCCCGCGGTCCGCGCACTGAAGGTCACTCTTGCCTAGGGTCACTCTTGCGTGTAGCCGACCCCCCCCGCCCCCTGGACTCCCCCTTCTAAGGGGATTTTAGACTACAGGGGAGGGGGAAGGGGGGGGTATCGTCTCAGACGCCAGTTCTCCCAGCAGGCGGCGGCAGATTGTCTCCCTTCCGTCTCTTTCCCCCTCCTGCTTCTGCTTCATCTTCTCCTTCTTCTTCTTCCGGGATGTTTCCTCTCTTCTTCGTCTTTTTCTTGTTGTTCCTCTTCCTCTTTCTCTTTTTCTTCTTCTTCTTCTTCTTCTTCTTCTCCGAGGAGTACGAGGAGGAGTAGGAAAAGGAGGAAGAGGAGGAGACCTCCCCCCCTCCTCCACCTGGAAGTCCCTCCTTCCTGGCGCCTTCCTCCCTCCCTCACCTCCTTTTCCTCCTTATCTTTTTCCTGATCTTCATATTTTCCTTCTTTTCTCTTTCTCCTTACGCTTGTTCATCTCCACCTTCCCCTCCCTGCTCCTCCTCCTCCTCCTCCTCCTCCTCCTTTTCCTTCTCTTTGCCGTCCCCCTCCGTCCTCCTCTCCTCTTCCCGTGTTTCCGATTCCTTCTGCTCCTCTTCATTTTCCTCCGCTTCCTTCCCCTGCCTCCCTCTTTTCCTTACCTCCTCTTCGTTCCCCTGCCCCCCTTCTGGCGCCCTCCCTCCCCTCTCTTCGCACCTTCCCTCCCTCCCCTCCCCTCCCTCCCTCCTCTCCCCTATCTCACTCTCTCCTCGTCCCTACCTCCTCCCTCCCTCCTCCCGCCTGCCTCACTCCTTTCCCCTTCTTCCTCCCTGCCTCCCCCAATGCTCCGCCTCCCTGCCGCCCCCCTGCCCCGCTCCTGCCCCCTCCTGGCGCTCAAGGCGCCCTCCCTCCTGGGGCGTGCCGCCGCGCTGGACTCCTCGAGGTGCGCCGCCGTGGCCGCCGCCGCCGCTGCTGCCGTCGCCGCCTTCGCCGCCGTGCCGGGCGTCCTCGTGGCTGTGGTCGCCGTCGTTGTGGCAGTCGTGGCCGTCGAGGTCGTCGCGGGGGCCGTCGAGGCCGTGGTTTGTGCGCCGCCCTCCCCCCAGCCCCAGTCCCTCCTCCATCCCTGCGTCTCTCTTTCTCACCCTCCCTCTTTCCATCCTCCACACTTCCCCTGCGTCCTGCTTCCACCTCCGCCTTGTGGCCACAAGCTCTCGCGCGCACTCCGCGGGCTGTCCACGAGGGCGGGTCCATCCTGGGGTCGTCTCCCTCCTCCCTCCTCGAGCGGGGCTAGGACGATGTTAACTCCGTTCTAGAGCGTTCCAGAACGCTCTCAGAGCGTTCTGGAACGCTCTGAGAAGGCCGCGGCGCCCGAGACATCCTCCAGAACCGCTGGATCTCAGAGATTCTCGATTTATCCCCGCCCGATTGTCTCCTCGTCCTGGCTTCTTGCTCCCTTCCTCGTCGTCCTCCTCTCCTTCCCCCAGAGGGCGATGTCCACGGCGACGACCGCGGCGGAATCCCGTCCCGTGATCGTCCTGGTGGACCCCACCTGGAACTTCGAGGCGCGCGCGTTTGGGAGGGAGAAGGAGGAGGAGGAGGAGGAGGAGGAGGAGGAGGAGGAGGAGGAGGAGGAGGGAGGAGGAGGAGGAGGAGGAGGAGGAGGAGGAGGAGGGGAGGAGGGGGGAGGGGGAGGAGGGGGAGGGAGGGAGGAGGAGGAGGAAGGAGGAGGAGGGAGGAGGAGGAGGAGGAGGAGGAGGAGGAGGAGGAGGAGGTGAGGAGGAGGAGGAGGAGGAGGAGGAGGAGGAGGAGGAGGAGGAGGAGGAGGAGGAGGAGGAGGAGGAGGAGGAGGAGGGGAGGATAGGAGGAGGAGGAGGAGGAGGAGGAGGAGGAGGAGGAGGAGGAGGAGGGAGGAGGAGGAGGAGGAGGAGGAGGAGGAGGAGGAGGAGGAGGAGGAGGAGGAGGAGGAGGAGGAGGAGGAGGAGGAGGAGGAGGAGGAGGAGGAGGAGGAGGAGGAGGAGGAGGAGGAGGAGGAGGAGGAGGAAGGAGGAGGAGGAGGAGGAGGAGGAGGAGGAGGAGGAGGAGGGAGGAGGTGGAGGAGGAGGAGGAGGTGGAGGAGGAGGAGGAGGAGGAGGAGGAGGAGGAGGAGGATAATTAATGACATCACGATGAATATTACCTATACTAAGACGAGGAAAACGAAGCCGAAGACGGATAACCATCATCATCATACGAGTCATACTCATAGTAATGCCAGTAAGAAGAATACCATTCATACTACATACGAATAATCATCATACCACTAACACAGCTAACACTAATGCGAACAATAGTGTTAGTCATACAATAAAGGAGAACATTCGTATTACTACGAAGAACGCGATGGTCACTGCCAATACTATGAAACCCTGTGCGAAACATACATCACTAGTAAAAGAGGAGCAGGAGGAGGTGGAGGATGAGGATAATGATGATGAGTAATAATGACAGTGCTACCAATACTAATAATACTACTAAGGCGTCGACGAATATGACGAACAACCATCACAATCATATTAATGCCGGTGGTAATACTAATATCAATAATATATGAGTACGACTAACACTAATTCAGACTTTAGTGTTAGTAAGACAATAATTAAAACATCAACATTCGTACGCAGAAGGATCATACCAATAACAATAATAGGACCACCACTTCGAACCATACTATCACTACTACAGAGACGAGGAGGAGGAGGAGGAGGAGGAGGAGGAGGAGGAGGAGGAGGAGGAGGGGGAGGGAGGGAGGGAGGGAGGAGGGAGGGAGGGAGGGAGGGAGGGACGGAGGAGGGAGGGAGGGAGGGGTACGTACGACCAGGAGGGGATACCATCTTGGGAGCTCGAACGGCCCTCCTCCCTCCCCTTCTCCTCCCCTTCCTCCTCCTCTTCCTTCTCCTATTCCTCTTCCCTGGATCTGAGGGGCTCAATGGAATCGCGGAGCCCCCAAGACTTGTCCTCAGAGTTTTCGGGATTCCTGGTCGCCTGGATTTCGGGTTGTGGAGGCCCTGGGATCTATGAAATTTTTAAAAATTCCAAAAAATTCAAAAAATATAAGTTTTTTGGAGGTCCAGGGTTTTCGGGATTCCTGGTCGCCTGGATTTCGGGTTGTGGAGGCCCTGTTTTTTTTTTGTTTTTTTTTTTTTTTTGTTTTAAACATTTTTTTTAAATAATTCTAAAGTTTTGGGGGTCCAGGGTTTTCGGGATTCCTGGTCGCCAGGATTTCAGAGTTTTCGGGATTCCTGGTCGCCTGGATTTCGGGTTGTGGAGGCCCTGTTGTGGAGGTCCTGGGGTCCTGAACGCGGATTTGTAAGAATTCGAAGGTTTCGGGGTTTGTTTTTTCCGGGGTTCCTGATCGCCTGGGTTGCAGGACCTTATCCCCTCGCTTCTTCAATCTGGCGTCATTTTTCTCCCACTCATTTATCCTTTTCCTCCTCCTCACTCAGGAGGAGGAGGAGGACAAGGAGGAGGAGGAAGTATGAGGGATACGCGGGACTTGGAAGAGGAGGAGCATGGGGGGTTGGCGACGAGGAGGAAGACCAGACGAGGACGAGCAGGAGGGGAAAGCGGAAACCAGAAAATGAAAGAGATGAGGCGAGAGAGAACGAATATTATGATTGATGGTGGTGATGATGAGAACGATGATGTTGACGATGATGATGGTGGTGATCATGATTGCGATGCTGGTGCTGATGGTGATGGTGATGATGCTGGTGATGATGACGATGACGATGATTATGACGATGTCTGCAATGATGATGGTTTTGATGATGACGGTAATGATCACGAAAGCGATGATGATGAGAGTGCTGATGATGATAATGCTGCTGGTGATGATGATGATGATGATGATGATGATGATGATGATGATGATGATGATGATGATGATGATGAGGACCAGTCGCCCTAATAGTGATGAGCAGTTTACGGAAACTGATCACCATGAAACTGTGAGACATTTTATGCGGAGCGGTCCCCATAAACACGACGACCGTTTTAGGAGGACCACCACCGTAAAAGTGACGTCCAGATCGAGAACCAAGGGGAGCTCTCTAGGGTCGTCGGGGAGGACGGTTTCAGAATCGAGGATCGAGGAGGAGTATGGTTTGAGGTGCTTGGGTTGTGGACTGGAAGCCTTCTGTATACTTATATGCCTTTGTTGGAATGCACCTGAGGGCCTTTTTCACAGTTTTCGAATTGCCCGTTGCCCTCACTGCTCCAAGAGTCCTTCGAAACGCATTTTCGGGACCTCCCTGTAACTTCTTGGATGCCTCTTGGGCCCCTCCCCTGGGCACATCTTGGGGCCCTCTCTAAACGGATCCCTGGACCTCTCCAGATATCTAAACGCAAGTTTTCCGAGCAGCGTTCAGCAGTGGCGACCATAATGGCCACCGAGTGCCAGAAAGCCTCAAACCTCGATGCTCGAGAATCGGGGTTCGAACCTCGGTGTGAACCTTCATATGCGCCGAATCCGAGGCTGGCCTGCCAGCTGATGCTCCACGGTGACTTCTTTGTTTCCCGATGGGTTCGATAGGGCTGCGGGAACCCTGACGAAATCGAACATCGATGCGGCATGTGTCCACTCCTCCTCCGCCTCCTCCTCCTCCTCCTCCCTCCGCCTTCCTCTCTTTTGCCTCACCCCCCCCGTCTCCATTATCCTCGTCCCCCCCTCCACCTCATGTATTGTCCCTCGCCGTAGTCGTTAATGTAGGCTCAAAGCCATGCCGCGGCAGAGGCTCTTGCCCTGCCGTGATTGCGTGGCCGACGGGGCGGCGCCGACCCATTGTCGCACCAAGCTTCGCTCAGGCGATGTGCCCCTTTGCCGGGCGCGCGGCGGCACGGAGGCGTCCGGCCGCACCGTCGGCTTGCGTGCTTGCCCCAGAGGTCTGGCCCAGGCCGGGGGCGAGCTGTTGCCGCGGCCGCGAGCATGAGTTTTGTTGCGACGCAAGGCGCTGTCCATTGAGTAAAGCCTTGTTGTCGAACCTTGAGCGCGCGCCTGTGGCGTTGGGTGCGCTCAGAGCTTCCAGGCTAGACACATGGTCGGCGCACTGGGGCGTGCGCGCAAAATCTCTGTGCCGCACTCCTCCCATCTCATCGCAACTATACCAAGAGCTGTGACCCTGCCTGCCGTTGCTCCACCCGCCTCCCTCCCCAGTGCCTCATCTCTCGTAGTAGGGGGCCAGTGGTTCGAGGGACCAAGCCGCGTTGGGCACGCGTGCACATTGTGTCATCGTGTAGCTGGTATATTGATATTATATAATATAATATGTGTATATATACATATATATATATATTGTAATATATAATGTAATATATAACATATCATACATATACTATGTACATACGTATATATATATATATTATATTAGATAATGTATATATACATAAATACATATTGCGTGCGTTTGTTTTTGTAGATACATACATAACTAGTACTTACACCGTGCAAAATCTTATTGGTGTACTCGCCATTAATGTACTTGTTTCCATGGGCGTGTATGCGCGAGTGTGTGTATATATGTATGTACACAAACAATATTATAATATATAAACGTACGTATACACAAGTACATTCGTATACCTGCTCAGGGAATACTGGGGCCCCCATCGGGGCTCCGACCGTGATATATAAAAACCGATGAGGTTTCCCGTGGGGCCGTCCACAATCATGCTGAAACTTCAGGTTTCGGAGTGTTTCTACATAATCGGGCCGCCATGGGGGGGGGGGGGGGGGGGGGGGTGTCGAAAACGCGTCCCTAATCGTCGGCGCAGCAGGGGCGTCGTTGAAAATTGGTGTGTTTGGCGCGATTCTGGACGCCCCCACGGGGAATCATAATGGGTTCGTGTACATTTCACATAGCTTGAACTACGGAACGACCGCGACATGACGAGGAAATGGAAAAAGAGGGTGTGGCCAGGGACGAGGGAGGAGGAGGAGGAGGAGCAAGAGGAGGAGGAGAAGGAGGAGGAGGAGGAGGAGGAACAGGAGGAGGAGGATACTATAAAACACAATGAAACCGTTGGAGCCAGGAGGATTCAAGACGACCCATATGCCTCGGGGGGCCACGTGAGGCCTCAGGATGCTCCAAGAGGCCACCCCTCCGTGCGGCCACAGGATATCCGAGGCGATCCCAGGAAACACCTGGAGGCCCCAGGAGGCACCAGGAGGCACCAGAAGACCACAAGGGGGCGCCAGGATGCCCCAGAGCAGCATCAGGAAACATCCAGGAGGCCCCAAGAGGCGCCAGGAGGCCCCAGGAGGCCACGGGACCCCAGGAGGCCGCAGGAGGTCCCAGGAAGGCCCGAGCCCCCAGAGAGCTCCAGGATGTCCCAGGTGGCGAGGGCCCTGGAGGCTACAGGAGACCACAATATGGTATCCCCTCCTGGTCGATCCGACGGGAGGGAGGGAGGGAGGGAGGGAGGGAGGGGGGGGAGGGAGGGAGGGAGGGAGGGAGGGAGGGAGGGAGGAGGGAGGGAGGGAGGGAGGGAGGGAGGGAGGGAGGGAGGAGGAGGGAGGAGGAGGAGG